TATATATATATATATACAAGGTAGCAAAATTAGACAGAACTTCTAAAACATACAAGTGCATTCAGGTTCCGTGGAAAAGATCTGCATCCAAAATAATTTTTTACGTTATAATTCAGTGGCAGGTTTTTCCCAAGATAGCTTGGATGCTTTAAATCAATGTATCACTTTAAAAAGTAGACAAGGCTGACATTTTTTGTGAAGTCCCGTGGGCACAGTTTACAGAAAATGTGAGTTTTTTTCTGTCTGAGTCTTCCTTTGTTAGTTAATAAAATGCTACCAGGCGCTCTGCAAAACTGGCATCAGAAATACCAGAAGATGAGTCTGAAATGCGCAGACTACTACTAGCAGTAGACATGCTGGTTTTTCATGCTGTTAGCTGTAATAGGTGCTGTAAAACCTGCTGTTATACAATGAAAAGTGTTGTTATCAATTGAACGGGAAAAAGAGCTGTATGTGTCGCTCATTATTCTCAGAGTGAACGTTGCTCTTGTTCATGTTCATCACTTCAAAACTGGTCCATTTTGTTCACCGTTCACTAAAAATATCAACGTGTCAGTAAGCGCAGTTCATGTACAATACTCGGTATTGCTCTGTGCTTCTTTCAACAAAGTGCTAGCTATAATGTGAGGCAATGAAAATCTTAAAAAAAAATAGGAATAAATATAAATCAAGAAAAAGTTTACCTTTATCATCAAAACAGGTCCTTGACAATGTATTGTTTCCTAGATGATTTATAGCCTTATAACACTCTCCTCTCTCAGCTACATTCATGACTACATTTGTGTCGTTCCAGAACCAGTTGAAGCTGGCAGGAGGCTTGGCTCTGCTGGAGCAACTCAGCTCCATCCAGCTACCTGCTGACAGCAAACCTGATGGACTGTTGGAAGCTGAGGTGTTTCCAGGAGCATATGAGGAAAATAGCGGGAAACACGTTAACTTTATTGATCAGAAATAACTGAACTATGATGTGCTGATGGATAACTTACATGAAACATTGAGAGTCACTTTTGTCTCTGCTGTCTTGAATCCTCCATTGACAGGATATCTGGCAGAACATCTGATGTATCCCTCAAGTGGGTCTGACAGAGTGATGGTCTCCTGGATTTTAGTTATAAAGGTTCCATCTGGGTTTTTCTCTGTTTTTTTCTCAGAGTCTTGTTGGAGATTCCAGGTGAGTTCAGGAGGTGAGTGTGGACAGGGAGTCACAGCTGAGCAGCTTAGAATGACAGACTGATGCTCGTTCAGATCTCCAACAGAGATTTTAATGCTGGGACTCCAGGGAGAATCTGGGAGTTCAAATCAGATAGACAGTTTACTAACTAAATCAAACCTACAGTATTTATAATAAATGCTCAAGGGTATACACTGCAATATAAAAAAAAAACAGACTGGGGTCCATTTCACAAAGCAGGTTTACTAAACCTGAAATTAGGGAGACTGAGATTTCTGTTTTACAAAGAGAGTTTAGTCAATCTCTGTTTCTGTTACCGTAGTAACATTCTCCCCAGAGCTAACCTGGTTCAGGATCAGGTTTTGTCCACCCTAATTACTATATAGATCACTATGTAGTGGTTGCGACATTTTAAATGAGTGTACGAACATCTAGTGTTTGAAAAAGTAGTGGACTCAAAATTTCCCACAATGCACCTTGAAAATTTGTGATCATCCATGGTCACTAGATGAACAGATATATCCAGGAATGCTTTGCGAGATTTTTTTGCAAATATTTACTGTGTTATGTGAGACAAGATCAAAATAAGAAGGAACCCCATGAGATGATGCGCAGGCCTTATATGTTTGAACAATGTTTTTATACTCCATCTTCACATGCTCGCTTCTACCCAGTGAGATTGCCCCAAAATATATTTCATTGATACACTGCTATTCAACCAGTAAGGTAGTTATCCCTGTAATGTTATTATTTCAGCAGGCAGGCCATATTGATATGTATCAGTTTGAGTTACCCGCATACCGTTTACTATTTTCACTCAACCTACAAATGACACAGCAGACTCAGTGTCATAATCCTTATCAGACATGATTGTTTTGGATTACCACTGCATGAAAAGTGGGATTTTCGTCAATATGCGGCACTGTAGATTGTCGTGGAACTTCAGGTTAGCGGCAGTTTACAACAATTTGCAGGCTTCGCCGAAAACTCCCGTAAATTGTCAGAAATTGACGT